CTCAACGAAGGTTCTAAATCCGCTTCTGTGAGGGAGTATATGAGCTCATAACTTTTAGAATGTAAAACAAAGGCCAAGAACAAGTAATGTTATCTTGAGGTTAAATGTGATAGCAATTCGTAGTGCTTCAGAGCCAGAGATGATAGTACTGCAAAGGAATGTTCTTACAGTGAGGGTTACTCGTCTGATACAATTGTGCGTACTTTTAAGCTTTATAAAGCTTGTTTAATATAAGGTTGAGTTAAACAAGGCTATAAACTGCATAATGCGCGATGCACCCACTACAATTTCAACATATGTTGATTCGTATAAACAGTATTTTGAACATAACAATACTGTATGTTCATATCACTTCTGCTCGAGTTCCGTATGTTCTTGAATACGCGTATTAAGCCAGACACGAATACTTCCATTTTTTGGGCTTGTCTATATGGGTTCATGTCGGCGCTGCAAGAAAATTAATATTAATTCCAAAAATTATCAATCGTCTGGAATCGTTCACTGCTAAATGATTGCAACAACTTCCTAGATACTTCTTCCTGTCCTTTCGCTCTTATGCTTAAAAGTAGATAATTGAAGAATTCAAAGGAGATCCCCGCTTACGTACGTAATCCTCTCGTCTTACACGTTCACTTTTTGTCTGCTATAGTGGCAACGGAAGATTTTTCGCAACCGAGTGCCCTATTGGTGGTAAATCATCATAGATTCCCGAAGAAATGCCTAAGCAGAGGACATTTGCCATTTCCAAAAGTGCTGGTCCAAATTGATTCTACATGGGAGCAGCCAGCGGCCACTCTAGTGCTGTTTCCCATTGCAAAAAACTAGGTAAAAGGTAAGTTCTTGAGTACATACAATACTTTTTCTTTACAGAGTTGTGGTAGCGTGCAGGCCTTCTTCTTTTCGATTTCTTCTGTCTTTTTTACAGTGAACGACATTGACGAATGCATTATGTAAATGATGGAATGATTTTAAAAGTTTCTGCTTCCTATTGTGTGGTTTCCTCGGCTGTCTCCAGCAATCTACAAGTGCCAACTGCTAAAAAAATTATGTTCTCCTCTCAGGATGAGAACTTTTCTTTCATTAAAGAAACCACTTGCGGGTTGGATCATTAGAAGCTACTAATTTTTCATTCATTTTTAAACCAAATTTCAATAGATCTTGATTGGCTTCGCTTTCCGTAACATCTTCCAACACCTCATCGTGCCACTGCACAAAATATAAGACATCTCGGGCTATTGGGATGACTCTTATCCAAATTATACCGACGTTTCTAACCTCTAAATTGAGTCAAAAGTAGTAGAAACCAAAGTGCAGCATATTCATCTTGTCTTTCCAGTAAGGCTTTGTAGGACATAAAGCACTGATATTGGTACAGGGCATGCCAAACTGCCCCTCCGCGCTGATTTATTGAAGTCTCTTTTGGTCTGTCA